GAGGTGCAAGATGTAGCCGAGTGCGACGTACATACACAGCTATAGGTTTTGATTCGCTGTTTTCTTTTCTTCTCCAAATGAGATGTCGCATGAACTCTGCAGATGTTTCTTTTCAAAGAGGATTTACATATTATCTACAACTGTCATTTCTTCGGCTGGGCAGATGTGGTGTCTAGTCGGTCAGTTGAACCATGAAACAGGCTTGAGCTCCTGGAAGTCTTATTTGACTAATTCTACAGCAGCATTAGTTTGTTAGTTGCTTTGGCCAAAAGCAGTGAGAGGCAGTGGCAAGAGCACTCAAGCACATCTGCCGCAGAGCTGAGAGGTCGCACGGCTGCTGTTTTCGTTGTTTGTCAGGGAACGACTGCTCGGCCTAGCAATCGATACACAGGACAGCGAACCTTCGAACGTGGACAAAACGTGAACTCCGAACTCTGAACTCTGCCTTTTCGCCTCAAACACATAACCTAACAGCCTTCAACATGCCCTCTCAAACACAACTGAAGAGCGATGGCCTCTGTTTTTGAAGAAGTCATGCGATTGCTGCGCCAGGACCTGTGTGCTAAAGTCCTTGCGTCAGCCGGTCGCCCGCGCGGTGGACCTACAAGAGGCAGCGCAACTTAGCGACGAGGCGTGTGCGGCGCTGTGCCACATGAAGTGAGTTTGCCGCCGGTGGGTTCGAATCGTGGTTGGTAGGCTTTCAGTCCGGTGGTGGGGAGTTCAAGTCATTGAGAATTTGCTTCAAGACCAACCGCTAGTCGGAGTTACGGTTGATGGTTTAACAAGAGTGCTGCCCTCAACGCGAGCTCTGCAGGAGCTGCAATTGGAAGCCAAGATTGCTTCTCTGCAGCGGCAGCTGGATGCCTCCGGGGTGGCTTGGCGAAAAGTCCTTTATGGGCAAAGTTGCTGACCAAAATTCCTCCAAATTCGCCACTGCTCCCAAACGAACTGGCAGGATCGCTTGAAGAAGCTTGATGCTTTGGAAGCCAACGCTCAGCATTTGGCCTCGGAGCCAAACACTCTGAAGGCTCCGAGATGGCAAACTGCGGAGTGAAATGCTTTGCTTTGTGCACTAGAAGCGAAGATCCCTCCAACGATGTGGTCAAAGCCGCCAGGCTTGTTTTATCCTTTGACCGTCTTTGACCTTGCAAGTCTGAGATTCCACGTAGGCCATCGCTCTTAGGTTGGAGGTTCACCGCTTCTAGGTTGGAGGCCGTTGCTATTAGGTTGGAGGCCATTGCTAGTAGGTTGGAGGCTATTAGTACTAGGTTGGAGGCCATCGCTAGTAGGTTTGAGGCCATTGCTATTAGGATGGAGGCCTTCTAGGTTGAGATTCCACGTAGTTGTTGTTTTGGCTCAGGAGCTGCTTCACCAGCTGGCAGAGGAGGCGCTTGTTGTTTGTGCTGCCAAGTGCTGCCATTTTTGCCCGGAGAATGTATCAACCACCATTCATCCCTAGTGTTCTTGAGCCGCGTGATTGATTTCCAATGAGATATTTTGGGGTGAGCAATTGTCAGTTTGTTTGACCTAACCCCATCAGAGGTGAATTTTGGGATTAGTATGTTCCTTGGGGACTGGTTTGAGATGAAAGTTTCAGAGGCTTGGAGAGGTGCGTCGGTGCGTCTTGGGAGGTTATATAGTTGAATCTCCATTCAAAGCTCCACTGGTTTTGGTGGAGGATTCTATCATTCAGTGTGATAGCTCAGCGATTTTAGTGCTTGCAACCACATTGTTGCGATGGCGTAGTAGGCAAGGGTGGCAAACATGCCAAAATGGTCTCCCAGATTCGAAGTGAATGAAGTACAAGCAAATGCATGCAAATTCTCATCTCATCAGGAGAAGAAGTTGAATGCTGTAACTTTTGCACATGTTTTCCTATGTTTCCTGCTCCAGGCTCCTGCTATCTCCTGTGACATGGATGCTGATTCAGGCAGGGGAGGTGCTCGAGCACCTCTGGGTGTCGGGAAGCGAGCGCGCTGAGGGTGTGAAAAAGGGAGGACATCGCAGATCATCGCAGCATCGCGTCTTCACCACTCATTTGCCAAATGCCACCTATCACGCCTCATGCCGGCATTTTGAGGCTTGCAGCCAGCCTTGGAACGCTTGGGGCTGGTGAGCTCTTGGCTCCAACGGACCCTTCAGCAGCTGCAGGAGCGCATCACAGCATAACGTGTGGCGAACGCGAGGACCCGCAGGTGGCGATGTTCGACCTTCGGTGGCCGTGCGAGATTTCGAGGATGGCGATGTTTTTGCCCCCAAAGTAGGAACAAAGCATGAGTCCTTTTTGGTCGATCCGCCTGATCCCCTCTGAAACGGTGAAACCGGATGAATCCGCAATTCACCTCACTGCCTCTCCCGAGGAGGCGCGCGAAGAGTTGGCTGAGAAAGAAAAGGCCGCGGCATCGTGTGCGTTTCTGCACCTGCCTGGGGAAGCCCCAAATGGGCAAAGTGCCTTGGCACGGCTGCCTTAAGGCCCTGCACAATTCGATGACGGGCGTTTTCACATGGGCAGAAAGCTTCCAATGTTCCAAAAGAATTCATGTTGGCACCTGCTTGATGAAAATGATTGGACATGCCTTTGCACATGGAGTGAAGTAAAAATAGAGCATGTGGCCAGACAGCAGACTAGGATGTGGAAGCATAGCTGCAGTAGAACCAGAATTCAGAGATGAGATAAGTGATATAAATACGATTCTTGAGTCGCTGCCACTTGTGAGTATGCCGCCCAAATTCGGCTTACAGTACATGCAAACATCAGGCGGGGGACAAAAAGATTCGTGCTGTGAGCGATGCAGGAAGAGGGATTGCAGGAACCAGATTGAACAATCTTCAATCCAACGATTCTACAACAATTACATTTGGCATTTCTGGACTCAATACTACTAGAAGCAAATAGCTACTAATAGCTTCTTGTGAGGTGACGTGATTGCCATGCCTTGCGTATTGTCAATCTATGTGTGTGACTTGCCAAGGCAATACACTGGGTGACTAGGTGACTTGCCAAGGCTTTCACATTGATGAGAAAGCACCCTCGGTCGAGTACTTTTCATTGACCTCGGTCGAGCATCAGTGCTGGCAATTGCGAATCGCACGCACTCTATTCATCTCTATTCAGGATATCAGCGAAGCAGGCAGAGGTGATCAAGTATGTGGAAAGAATGCTCCTAGTAGTAATGCGCTTTGTTACTAGTAGCGATGCCCTTTGCTCCTAGTAGCTTCTTGTTACTAGTAGTAATGGCCTCCAACCTGCTTGCGATGGCCTCCACCTAATAGCGTCCTTGCTCCTAAGATAGGCTTTGCCAACACGGCCACAGAAATCACTCCCGATTTCCTTCACCAACACGGCACCATTGAGATGCACATCAACATCCAGAAGCCCACTGCCTGTCAACTGTTCAATGGCAGATTCATTATCATAAGCTTGTTCATCAAACATATGAAGCGTCACACGTATCAATTCCCTGATATTTGACACATCTCACTGGATATTGGAGTGCTTCCTCCTTGCACAGTTGCTCTCCTTCAGACTCTCGAGACTCGAGTCAGAATCCATTTCTTTTTCCCCTGAAGCTTCACTAGGAACAAAGAGCATCGCTACGAACGTAACAAGGACGCTACGAACGGGGCTCCTGGCCTTACTACGAACGGAGCAATGGGCATCGCTACGAACGGGGCTCCTGGCATTGCTACCAGCAAGGACGCCACGAGTCGCACCTAACAAAACCTGAAAGGGGCGACAGGACAAAGGGGCGAACCAGCCGCTTGAACCGCTTTCACATGGCGTCTTGGGCGCCGCGTGCATCCTTGTCTGATGCCCAGAACCCTTAGGGACTAGAAACACTACGTTCGTAGCTATTTGTTCCTAGTAGTATGGCCAGGAGCCCCGAACGTAGCGTCCTTGCTCCTAGTAGCGATGCCAGGAGCCCCTAGTAGCAAATAGCGACTAATAGCTTCTTGTTATTAGTAGTAACTTAGCTAATAATAGCAATGCACTTAGCTACTAGTAGCGATGCACTTAGCTACTAGTTAAACTTGCAAGACTGCTTAAGTTGTTTGACCTGACTACTTAAGAAGAGCCTCATTGACTCATGGCAAAATGCCTCTGTAGAAAAAATACCATATTAGTCCTTGAATGCCTGAATTAGTGCATGCAAGTCTTGATTTGGTGCTCGGCTGTTTATATGCATTGTTTTGTGAACCTTCTTCTTTCTTGTGACATACCTTTTCTGTGTCTTTGCCGACCAGATCACGGGGCGAAATTGACTCTGAAGCAAAACAATGGCATCTTTACAGTGAGAGTCAACACAGGAGCCAGTGGAAGCCGCATTGGTTTCAGGTCTTTTTCGATTTGACCCTTTTGTGTTCCTAATGTTTCAGAGTAGGTATTGTTATTCAGTGCAGAAACGGCCAACAGTACGCAAAAGTTTAAAGATGTCTTCGAGATCGTTCTTTCATGCAGCCTAGGTCGAGAAGTTGTGAGGCTGAGGTGCACCTTTTTTCTTTTTCGGGCGCTGATTGGGGAGATTAATGTTTCTAATCAGGGATGATAACGTCCAAGACTTAAGATGGACACAGTAGCAAGGGTCAGTAGAAACACCGAGGATACAGTATTCGTACTTGGTGCCTAAATCCTCTTGATCCAACGGCAACCAATATGTGTCATTAGCCGCAGCTTGCCCAGAGAGAAAGAAAGAGAGAGCGTCTCGTTTGTTGTTTTTTTCCTCTAATATTCAAAATGAAAGGGCTGGACTATTCAATGCAGATATGTGGAAAGTCTGAAGGACAGTCGCTTTAACTCATCTCATCAACAGACCGAGCATCATGGCTGCTACAGGTACACACTGTCCAAGATGAATCCAGAGAGAATCGGCATTCAACATGCTTCACATTGTTTCACTGCTGCCATTTTGGTTCAGTTTTGGTTCGATCACGGACTGTTTTCGCCAATGCTGCAGCCGGTGCTCGTCCCGATGGGGCCTCGCTCCAGGCCATCGACCGCCATGTGTGGCCGCCCACCTGCCGGACCGTTGACCGGTCGACCGTTGACCGGTGCCCAGCGGGACAAGTCCTTGGCAGTGGTCTTTCTGCTGTTGGCATGTATCTCCCTGATCCTGGAGAGACGCGGACGCGATGGGGGCTTCGCCTTAAGCTTCTTGGTTTCGAACCAACACCGAGCTCCCAAGGAAGCAAGGGAAGCAACAGCTTGCTCCCTAGGGTCTTTTTCATGTTCTCAATCAATGATGACACCGAGCCGTAGAGCGCCAAGAAGCTCACCGCAATCCCATTCATAGACGCTCTATATCTCCCTATATATACATTTTTCTATTGTGGGCCCTACATGCCCCACAGCCTGGACCTCCAACAAGGTTATACCCCGAAGCCCTTGAGCCGCCACATGGCGGGGCTCCTCTGGTCGGCGGTGGCCATCGTGGGGCGGCCCATGGCCTCGGCGCTGCGGAAGGAACTGGCCACGCCACGGGCGGGCAAGGCGGTGTCCAATGCGGAGCAGGTCGGGATGACCTCCTTGATTCAAGGTGCCTGGCCTGGGGTGGCCTGCCTGGGGTGGCCGGTGTGGAGTGGTCGGCCCTGGGGGTGTGGCGCTAAGGGTCGATGAAGGAACCAATGATGGAACGATGGAGCTGGGAAGAGAGATGTTCTGTTTAGGGGAAATGGCAAATGGTGTAGCCTTGAAGATGATGAGATGTGACTAGAGTGGGAGGTTGTGATGCTGCTTTGTGGCTATCTATTTGGTGCATCACTTAAAATAGTTACATCCCATGCGAAGAAGAAGTGATCGTGTGGTATAGAGCTTGGGTTGCTCTCCTGGGGGGAGCCGAAGATGTAGATTTGGCACTTAACAAAGGCACAGGAGGCTTGGTGACTTTTCGGACTCCCATCATTTGGTTTTAGACTTACTTCTATCCGTCATCCCTTCTATCCCTTTGCCCTAACAGGTTTTGGGAGTGTTACTGGCCGGTCCCAATCCTGTATGAAACACGCATTCGGACTGTTTTCCAAACCTAGAAGGTCTGGTACGCTCTGGCTCCCAAAGCGTTAGCAAGGTGCGGTGGCCATGACCTTCATGTTTCGGGATCAAGATCCCCTTCACAGCTTCCACTCATTGCCGATGATTTTCTGGATTTGCCTGGCAAGCTCCAGCTTTTTGAACGCCATCATCAAAACTGCTGAAACCCACGACGCTCGACCGAAGAGAACAGCCGATACACTGTTGGGTTAGGTGAATCAAACCAGGCAATGAAGAGCCGATAGAAGACTGTTCATTTGCCCAACTGCTCAGCATCTTAGGCTTTTACATTCATAGACGGACTCTCTTTTGTTTACTGTCCTTGTTGCACTCCAGCCGCAAGTTGAAAAAGATCATTTAGACAACATCAGACTCAGATGGCAGTTAAGTATACAAGCAGCGAGACTTTTCCGCGTGTGAGTGTGCCCGAGGCGTACAAAGTGGGCGAGATGTCATTGTGCGCCCCCCTTTCTAGCTTTTGACCCTGCTGCTTGGTGCAACTGGCAATAGTCTTCTTCAGAATACTGCCAAAGTTCTCTGACGAAGTTTTGAGCTCCAATTGGAGGCGGGCTCTCAACTTTCTTCGTTAGAAACAACAACACTTTTGCACAGAGCTTGGACTCCAAAGAAGGATTAGATGGGCTGGTGGGGACTGGCATCTTTTGAAATCCATCGGCTATGGCGTCTTGAGGTGATCCAGCTGCTGGCGTCTTGATCTCGAGAACGAAGCACCTTTTTTTTTAAACCAATAGCGATGCATTTGTTACTAGTAGCGATGCACTTAGCTACTAATAGCTTCTTGTTACTAGTAGTAATGGCCTCCAACCTACTTGCGATGGCCTCCACCTAATCGCGTCCTTGCTACTAATAGCTTCTTGCTACTAGTATACACAGAAAAAGCAGAAAATAAAAACCCTTTCGGAGCCACCCGATGCAGGGGGCGTCGCCTGGAACTGAGGTGGGCACTATGGTGTTGCCGCTCTTCAGCGGGGGCTGGCCTTGTGCACCCTCGTTGCGAAAAGCTTCGGCGGTCGCATGCATCGCAGCCGGCATGCTGGCACTGTCCATGACGGACCAGGCCTGGCGACGACAGAGACGATTTCTGAAAAATGGAACGTCTGGCAGACATCTGGGACTTGGATAATAAACTTTAAAGCAATCTTCTAGCTAGGACCTAGGAGAGATTGTGCATGTTCATGTCTTGTGCCGGTTCAGGGAATCTTCAACAGAACCTGGGTTGTCAGCCCATGATCTGAGTTAGTAGCCTGCCCATTCATCCAGCATGGCTGTTACTTATACTAGGCACAAAGCTTTCAGATGATGTAGTAGTGCACCTATTCACAGCGCTTCGCGCTCGAAGCCGCCCGCACGGAGTGTGTGCGTCTGTCTGTCTCTGTCGATCTGTCTCGGTTTGTCAGTCTGTCTGTATCGGTCGAGCAGGACACACGAACGAACACACCCACGATGTCAATAATGCAGTCTCCAGTGGAATGCATCACCGGCATCGCGAACGTTTACCTCTAAAGCCACATCAATTTTTAATCTTGAACAAACATCAAAAAGCCCACGCAAGCACACCAGTATCACAGCATCGAAGGGGCCCGCTAAAGCTCATTAAGCGGATCAATCCAGCAGCTATCTTGCGGCTTGTGCGAGCCTCCACAACACCTCGGCACCTTCGGCGCGGGCGGATTTCCACACTTGAGTGGTTGGCACCTGATGTCCTTGTCTTGACGAAAGACTTTTTTGGACTTGTGGCTCCCCTGGTTGCTTGGTAGTCACACAGACCTATCGTTGCCGAATCCTTTAGTATACTCGGTTGCAAGAATCCAAATGTAACTTTTCAATTCGTTTCCATATGTCGTCGTTCCACCCCATCTTCACGTCGCTGTCGGTATCCAGGCCAGAGCTGGACAAAGAGGATTGCCCAAAGGTGCCGAACGCGTGCGTGTTACGCGCATGGCCATGTTGCCCGCGAACGCGAAGGATTTGTTGACAGTAGCAAGAAGCTACTAGGGTGGAGGCCATCGCTATTAGGTTGGAGGCCAAGATGGCCTCCAGCCTACAAGCGATGGCCTCCATGGCCATGTTGCCCACGAAGGATTTGTGTTGACTTTGGGTTTGGCCAAAAGGTTCTTGGGTGGAATCTCCGCAGGTGCTGGCTTCATCATACTGAATTGCTTTCTGCTCCTTAACCTGAGGTTGCTCAAAGTCGCTACTCAAGACATGGTTGGTTTGCAAACAAGGAGTTTTGGAAGAAATCTCCTTTCTAACACTCTAGTTGCAGTGGTCATCCAGATTCACGTCTGGACTGTGTGAACCATTGTGAACCCGCAAATTAGGGTCTGCAACACTGCAGCATCCTTCCAACATTCTTCACTGCAGCGTCCCACGTCCTTGCTTCGGGTGGATACACCGTACACGCTGAGTCTAGACATTCCAGAAAAAACAACTTGTTCCTCTAGTCCTGCGGCAGTCAAGGTATTCGGCCACCTACCGCCTTGACGCTGCGGCTGTTGGAGTGCCATGGAATAGCAATGGCCTTCACCCTCATAGCGTATTGCTGACCAGTGTCGCTCCGTTTTGGTTTGGTGCTTATTATTGTTGAGGCCGTTGCCTTGCAGAATGCCATCCGAGGTCTCCAGCAGCCTATGTTTGTTCGCTTACTGCCGTTTGATCATGGCCGCCATGTGCTTCTCATCCACGCGGCTTTGGAAAAGAGGTAGGGAAGGCGATTCCACTGGTCTCTGGGAGCCGAGAGCATTGCTTTTGCTGATCTTCGTGTGTGTGGTGGATGCAGCCTACATGCTCTCCATGTACCAGGCGCCAGGAAGGTTCCGGAGGTCTTTTCGCAGCACGTGAGACATGAACTTATGGAGATGGTAGTCAAAAGCGCCACCTGGGAGTGCACCACAACGTTCTCGAACTGCTACGTTTGTTTTCAGGACTGTTCAAAACATAGAACTGACCTGCATTATATATCCAGTCACCTTCGGACCAGATCAAGCTGACCTCATCGGGCCGTTTGACCTTCGGTTCTTGGAACTTCGCCTTCTCGTAGTAACAAGTGCATCGCTTCTAGTAACAAGTGCCTTACTAGTAGTAACAAGGACGCTAGTAGTAACAGGTGCCACGCTAGTAGTAACAGGTGCCTTACTAGTAGTAACAAGGACGCTAGTAGTAACAGGTGCCACGCTAGTAGTAACAGGTGCCTTACTAGTAGTAACAAGGACGCTAGTAGTAACAGGTGCCACGCTAGTAGTAACAGGTGCCTTACTAGT